CTATGCACATATATGTACATACTAGGGATGTTGCGAATGTGGAATTTTAGACATCCGCAGATGCGAATGCGGAATAAATCACTAACCGCCACTAAATAACTACTCGCTCGAGGCGACAAACTTGAAAAACTTGACAAAATTGTAAATTCTTTTCGATTGGCGCTGCACCAGTTGAGAGGACTTTCAGTTATATTTCTTTTTTTTATTACGGTGCAATAATTAATTTTCGGGAATTTCATCGGGGCTGTAAATGTCGTGGCAAGATCGTTGTTTAGACACCGTTGTGTTCCAATTTGGAGAACCAATTCTTTTGGTTGTTTCAGAATTTAGAGAACCTGTTACCTCATCAGCGTTTTTCGATTGTAGTTTTTGTAATTAATTTTTAATCTTGTCTTCTGTGGCTGGTTTGAAAAACGGACGCTTAAAGTGTGTTTGCATTGTTCAACTTTGCGTTCAACATTTGCGTTCAACTCAGCGCAGGGTTGCACGAAACAAAAGTTGAATTGCTAAAAATATCAAAACATGAAAAAATATCAAAATGTTCGCCATAAAAAGGTGTTAGCATCTTTCAACTTTGCAGTCAACTTTTGGTTTGGTTTCCACTAATCGCTTTCAACAAAGTTGGTCGCCAGCCAACATTTAGCCATTGCACTTTTTTCGAGCAACCCTGCGTTGAGTTGAACGCTAATATTGAACGCAAAGTTGAATACTGCAAACACTGTTTTATAGCGTGGTTGTGAATAGGTGGATATGGCAACTAAATTATTATTTTCTAGGAATGAAAATTTCGAAGAAAATTTTGTTTTGAAAGTCGTGGCTGCCAGCAGAATTAGTTTAAATTCTTGTTTTTTTGTAAAAAAGATACCCCGTTTTTTATAATAATTTGAATATTTCATATCTGAACAATCAGTTGTATGAGAGCTATATATTACAGTGGTCCGATTTTTCCGGTTCCGACAAGTGATAAATACATTATAAAGCTAACTTACTTACCAAATTTCAGTCGGATATATCGAAAACTGAGAGACTAGATTGCATACAAACAGTCGGACAGACAGACAGACGGCTCAGCTCGATGTTATGATCATATAAGTATACATTTCTGGTGCTTACAAATATCGGACCAAAGTTATAATACCATTTCATGCACATGAAAGGTACAATTGTCAGGCTTCAAATCGGTGAAGTAGGCGACAAAATATAAATTTAAACATTTTCTTAACTTCTTCTCTTGCTCAATCCTACGACTACGAGCTATTTCAGTGCAAGCTGCAGTTGCAGTTGACTGTGTTTGTCACAAAAGTAAAAAGTGGCCGAAAAGTTGATAGTGAGCGATATAATCTATTGAAAAATATTAACCAATTTATTTAGGTATTATTCATAGCTTTGGAATATATTTCACGAAAGCAAAAAGTATAAATAGTTGAGGTCACTTTCCTTTTTAAACACCTAGGATATCCCTGACCATTAATAAGGACCCTGAATGACGGCAAACCTCAATACTTTACACACGTTTTGATATGATTTTTTAAATTAATGATTCTAAATTAGGCGTTATATATATTTTAAAATTTTTAGAATCAGTGGTTGAATTTTTGTACTGAAAGGGTTAAGAAAGCTTTGGTTTAAAAGTGTGATACTAAAACCTATCGCCATAAACGGTGCCAATTTTCAGTGATTACTGCGTTTCAGATTACGGCAAATAAAGCCTTTGTCTTTACTTTAAAAATGACTGTTTTCTCACGGCCCAGTAGAGTAAGGTCCTTTAAGAACAATATCAATAACAATTATCCTAGGTTATCAGATCTCTAGCAATAATAGATTAATTGTTGTCTTTCACGAAGTTCTTTAAATAAATTTGAGCTAAATACTCACCCCGAATTTGGGGGGTTACTACTATATAGTTTTGATAAATTTTCAGTTTAATTTCTTATAAAATCTGCCTTTGGGTTTATGCATCTTAAGCATACATCGGAAATTTGTTTTAGAGAATCAATAGGGATATTGTCGAAGGCTTGCACGATGCATGGATAGCACGAAATGCAAAAATACTATTCCAAATTTGGAAGAGTACGAGAGCACCCCATTGCACAGTGGTAGCATGTATAGGTAGCAAGCAGCGAAATTCTGTATGAAATACAATAACAAGAGACAGCGAAAAAAAATGAAGTGAGCGAGATGAGAGGTATGAGAGAAATATGTAGCAATTCCAACAACAAAACAACTAGCACAGGGTCTCATTTATTTTACTATGCTTTTTTGCAAAATATATACATGGGATTCGACGTTGTATATTTTGCAGCGATGGAAATTGTTGTTTCCCATATATTTTGTTGTTGTGTGTTTGCAAGTTATGCAATCCGTGCTAGGTTCAACGGCTTTGCAAGATAGCGAGAATACCCCTAATGTGAAATAATTGCAGAAACGATTAACCGGTTTGCTGCGCAACCGAGACGTCTGCTTTTTAAATAATTTTTAAAAATCAAACAAATCGGCAAGTACATATCGTCCCCGCATGCCGGAAATATGAATGTGTAAACATGAAAATTTTGGGAAATCAAGTTTGCAAGTTTTTTTTTACGAGACTTAACTCTGCATTCATGTAAATGTCATGGTGAAATACATATGTGGTTTCCGAGAACGCATGGTATTCTGGGTTCTGGTATAACATACAACAACCATAGGTTAATCAAGTCATTTCAATAGAATTATGACTTTTAGATTAAGATTTAGTAAGTGTTGGACTGCAAAAATACGAAATAAGTAACAAGGGCACAAACCGAATTGTCTTTATTTCCCATAAAAATATTACAAAATGTTTTACTGAAACTATGAAATGAACAATGGTATAATATGAAAAGTGTCGTTATTTCACATAAAAGCATGACTAACCTATCGAGATTTTTTGTCGTATGCCAATATTCAAGATAAATGTGAGACATGTGCCACTGTTCAATAGTAAGAATTGGCTACTTCGGTTTTGTGACAAATGGCAAAACTGCGCTTTTGCCGGATTGGTAACAGCTAAGCCTTTGTCGATTTGCCACAGAAAAATATGGTTAGTTATAAACCTAATCCGCTATATAACTCAAAAACATGGAATTTCGGGTAGTGCCGTTATTGCAGAGAACCATCGATTTGTGTGTTTTAATAAGTATTAATCAATCAACTACATTAAAATTTTGAAATAAAATTTTCGTTTTTTTTTATGTGTCAGCCCCTTCCTAAATTCGATCCTGGCGACGCCCATGCTGAAGCTAATGCATCAACCTGACCTTTTACAATGCAAAGTATAATCAAAAGCTACGATTATGCATTTTTTAACGGAGCTTTCTTCAAAAATGACCTCAAGAAAACGTTAAAATTTCCCGCAAATANCCCCCCACCTACCTTGCCCTAAAGTTTGGCACGTTACTTCTGGGACACCCTGTATACAATGTATGTAGTAAACCAACCACANGTTTTTTTTTATGTGTCAGCCCCTTCCTAAATTCGATCCTGGCGACGCCCATGCTGAAGCTAATGCATCAACCTGACCTTTTACAATGCAAAGTATAATCAAAAGCTACGATTATGCATTTTTTAACGGAGCTTTCTTCAAAAATGACCTCAAGAAAACGTTAAAATTTCCCGCAAATAGCTCTTAAGCTCGTCAATGTAGGATTTATAATGAAGATATTGCCAATTTAAAAATGAACATAGATATGTATGTTTTAGTTCAGTATATTTATGAATCTACATCCGTATGTAATTATGTATATACAATGTATGTAGTAAACCAACCACTACGTTTAATTGTAGCTACATTCTCATACTTACATTTTCATTACTTCTTGAGTGTCTTTGCCGCAAGATAGGCAATAAAGTCGGGGGATATGCGTAAAACACTAAAGGCATCCAATCTTGATTGATCACACTTGTCTGTGGTTTGGGCAAAGTGCATTCTTTTCTTGAACAGCGACAACAAAAATGCAAGCATACATTGGTATTGTTGTTTTATTTAAATGCCTTTGATTTTCTTCAAGTTTGCTATAGGTGTTCTAGACATATCACTGTTGGTTTCCAAAATAGAGGAAAAANATCCAATCTTGATTGATCACACTTGTCTGTGGTTTGGGCAAAGTGCATTCGTTTCTTGAACAGCGACATAGAACAACAAAAATGCAAGCATACATTGGTATTGTTGTTTTATTTAAATGCCTTTGATTTTCTTCAAGTTTGCTATATGTGTTCTAGACATATCACTGTTGGTTTCCAAAATAGAGGAAAATATATTTTCATTTTGCCGCGCATAATTAGTTACCTTGCAGTCGCCGGTGTCATCCGCCTCTACCTCAACCTTTAGTTCGTAGCTTGTAGCATGTGCATACATGTGTACATGGAGCAGATGCCATCTATGCATGTGTGTACCTTTGTATGTATGTATACTGGAGGCTCAGCGATCGACCGGCCAAAATCTTATGCGGATTATAGCCCATTCCAACAACTCTGGGCCACTAGCCAAATAAGCAATGCATCGCACGCATCCACACGCATTTTAATACGATGCTACAATAAATATATGCAACAACAACACCACAAGAAATAGAAATGCCAGTTCGCACCATGGTGATGCCCTGACAATTATAAATAGTCTGATTTGGTAAGGTCGCCTTTTGATCAATTTATATCCAAGCCTGATGCTTGTAAAAATGCTCTCAGTTCATTTAAACTAAAGTGAAAATACACTCACTCACAGTAAAAATGCTCTCAGTTCATTTAAACTAATGTGAAAATACACTCACAGCGCTGGCAACTCGGCATAACTGCGAGTTAATACAGTTTGTTTTGCCTATTTAATAGCAGTAAATTAGATTTGGATTTCACGTTTTTAGATACTTTTGATTGGTGTTGTATTTGAATGCGATATACTAGAAGTTTAGTTCTTACCAACCATTACTTATTTTTAAAGTTTATTATAATCGTTTTCAATCATTAATATAATTTTCTCAATTCAACAGAACGCAAGCGGGGCCGCCAAACATATACCCGTTACCAAACTTTGGAGCTGGAGAAAGAGTTTCATTTCAATCGATATCTGACAAGACGACGGCGCATCGAGATCGCACATGCGCTGTGCCTCACGGAGCGCCAGATAAAGATCTGGTTCCAGAACCGACGAATGAAGTGGAAAAAGGAGAATAAAACGAAGGGAGAACCTGGCTCCGGCGGCGAGGGTGATGAGATCACACCGCCCAACAGTCCGCAATAAGACGCTGATGAAAAAGATGCTGACGAGTCACGCTTCATCCGGTTCCAAAAAGGGACATGAAAGTATGTTAACAACGCAGTCGTCATTAAGCGAAAGGACATCCAGAAAAATTGTCTTTTTTAGATTTTTGAATGCATGCACTAGTACGAATATGACATTTTTCAGAAAGTGCTGAAGTTCACTTTTTAGCGAAACTATGAAGAACTTATCCCGTGCTGCAGTTGGGGTGTAACGTTAGTTACTTATTTTGTTGGACACATACATATGCATATGCATATGTACGTACGTCGTATATATATTAATTCTATACATTATACGTTAAAAATTATAAATTGGTCTTGATTAAAGCTTATGCAATATTAAACTAATTCTGTTTATTTTCTGCAGACTTGTATAACTTTCTTAGTTAAATCTTTAAAGGAAATATTATTATTTTATTTGATTGGGATCAGTAATAATTCGTAATTGACACGAAATTTTATTTTAATACCAGTACTAAGCAGGCAGGCGGGAAAGGTGGAAGCGTTATTGGTTGGAGCAATAGTTACATAAACTAAATAAATTAAACTGTAAATGAGTAAATAAATTAAAGTAAAGTAAAGTAACTAAATGAATAAACTCAACAAAACCAACTCATGTGACCTCAAATTTGAATAAGTTATTGAAAATAAACTAAATAATATACAAATACGTACGCAAACAATANGTAACTAAATGAATAAACTCAACAAAACCAACTCATGTGACCTCAAATTTAAATAAGTTATTGAAAATAAACTAAATAATATACAAATACGTACGCAAACAATAATATATATATATATAATAACATTTAAAGTAAATATTACAGTACACTAATATACCACATAGAAGCGCAGAAAATACGAAATAATGAAGGAACAAAAAAAATGCAAAAACACAAACTAAATTAATTATATAAATGATGTATGTATGTAAAGCATAATAAGTTATTATTTTCTAAGAATAAGATATTTATCACTACACACACATACATAACTAAAACAACAAAAAGAAATATTAAAAGCCTAAAAATGTTAAGCCAATTCTTGAAAGCCTAGGAATTGAAGAGAAGAAATCAGAATATATGGAAGGGCACTTCTAGGCTTTGCAAAGAGCAGTTTTCATTTTCCTTAAAATGGTGCAAACGCAGTAAATACAAATTTGAATCGCAAATAAAGTATGTATGTGACTACAGACTTATAAGCAACTCGTGCTAACAGAATGCCTACTAATTTACAACTAAATACATACATAAGTAACGTTTGTTCGAAGAACATAAATAAGAAATACTGGTTTACATAAAAATTTTATTATTGAAATTGTTTAAATATTGGATAGAGCGTTGGTCCTGAATAATTTTTCTACCTTTCAGATGTTTTAGTTGGGAATACCTTCTGGGTTTAAAAATTTTGCAAAAAAATATTTGTATGAGTACCGATGAGCTTTGATTAATCGTTTTTTTTTATTAAATTTTAAATGAAGGTCAACACGATTATGTAGACTATTAATTTTAGTTCCTCGACTTGGTTATTTTATAACTATGCTTATTCCATCTTACACACATATATACAAAATAGAAATCATGATTTTTCAAAAAAGTGGAGCATGATTGATAATCTGCTTTTGTTATCTGGCACACTGCGTTGCACCGCACCTATGTATAACTGGTAATTGTAAATTTATTTGTCTATAATAATTTGCATATGTACGTAAAAAACTGTATTAATTCAAAACTATACATACATATGTATGTAAAATATAATATGTAAAGAAAGCTACACCAAATTAATATTGAAGTTAATTTTAGCAAGAAAAGTCTTATAACTAGTTTGATGGCAAAGAGTATGTAAAAGTATTTATTGAAGCAGCAAAAATAACAATAAACGTAAAATAAAATTTCAATTGGGAAAGTTTTTCTTCAATTACATTTCTTGAAAGTAAAAGCCACATAGAATGGAAGACAACAAAAAGGAACACCTTCGATGTTTTTGTAGACATATTTTAAGATTCAATTAAGAGAGGATATCATGTATACCAAAATTAAAAACTAAACCGTAAAACATACACAAATTAAATTGGCACATGCATAAAAATCGTAAATATCGAGCCGACTTGATAGTTTTTGTAGAAGCTTACTATCAAGGTTATACATACATATGTACATATGTATGTATGTATGTAAATTTATTTCTAGAGCTGAAAATGAGCGTGCAACATGTTTGTTTTGGATTTTTTGATGGCGAAACATTTTCAAATTATCAGGTACACTTGTAAATTGAATAAGAACCGTTCAAGTTGTCAAAATTTGGCACCGTTGTGAATTAGTAAAATTGATAACTATAACTTTACATAAAAGATATTTACACATACATATATGTACATATGCATGGAAATGCCTACATACTTAGATATTAGCTACTCATATATACGTACACACATGCATATATGTAGATGCAATGGTATGCATGTGCATAAATACGCAGATTAAGCAGCTGTAAATGACAGTCATGTGTTGAATATAAAAACCACTGAGCAAAATCCTAATGGTTAGCTTTGAACTGTCAGAACATACAATATTGTGAAAAAATTTAAATTAAAACTTGTTTCGTGGCCACTCTAAATTCTAAATTATTTGTAATTAGCCTCATTGCGAGTGTCGATTACAGCCGCTTTTCGAGACTGGAGTCGTATTGAAAATTATCACCGCTGCTGTCGACCTGTAGTAGATAAACGACTATTATTCGATTATCGCATGGTATTGTGAATTTCGATTTCCCGTTTAATAAGCGACTGTGAACAGTTTTTAGTCGTTCATCTTTCTAAAACTACTTGTTTGTAGAAGGATAAGCGGCTAAAAACAATTCACACACTTACTGAAAGAGAAAACGACAATGCAAATGTTGCCGAGTCGTACAATTTTGTCTAAATAATTTACTACTTACGCGATGGTGCTGAATGGTAAAAGCAAACAAAGAACTTAGCTTAATACTTTGTTTCAAGAAAATTTTGTTAATTATACTTCTTATTTGGCACTGCAACCCTTTGTCGGTTTTGGTCGAGACCAGAAAAGGTCGCCAATTGTCTCTCTTCTTTGCGACGCCAGTTGTTCATCCCGAGTGCAGACAGGTTCTTCTGCACTTGGTCCTTCCATTTTGTTCGTGAGCGACCTTACTTTCACTAGAGCGTCGTTCATTATTCTTACTAATAGCTGAAAGCAATAATTCGCATGGTTTTACACTGGCTTGAAAATTCTTCAGAATGAAAAATCTCTAAACAAAATAACTTTATAGCAGATAAATTTAAATACATTCAGGGTCGTTGGCTGATTTACAGAAGCTTTTAGTTTTCAGTTCGTCGCTTTCACAATTATCGGTTAGGTAATGAGTAAGAGCAGTCAATATTCGAGGAACTTTTTAGTGGTCCTAATATTTTACACATGACTGTAATTTATTAAATATTTTACGAAGAACTAAAAATAATAAGAAATAAACCAAAGCCAAAGTCAGTTTAGAAGCAGAAGTAAATAGATATATAGTATTTTAAGTGTTTTGAAAGTCTATTTGAAACGGCATGTATGTTCAATAGGTAAAGCATATTTATACATACATACATACATATATACATAAAAAGTACGAACATTTTCTCTTTTAGTACCATTGCAGCTTATCCTTTGTATGTATGCGCGCATCTAACTAGAGTTTGACCTAATTCAAGTTTTTTCATAAGTTGGGGGTTCAATACTTTTTTAAAACATCATTGGATTGAGCGACGTGAATGAAATACTATGTACATACATATATATGTAGAGACATATATATTGTACATGGTACTAATATACATACTTATCAAAACACGTAATTCGAGCTATAAAATTTGTTTATAGCCAAATAAATAGTTTGATTGAAAAGCGTGAATTGTGATCATAAAATTTTGCATGCATTTGTTTGTAATTTCCACTGAAAATACAAAAATTGGTATAACCAATTTCCATATTTCAAAATATTCACATCTAAAAAATCTCCCACTTAAATAGCTTCCGACTTGTTTCTCATTGATGTTTGTAAATTATAACAGAATGAAATTTGAAGAACAAAAGTGCACTAAACCAAATTATTCATCCAAATGTACGTAAAAGTTGGGCCTCAGCCTTAAGAGAAAAAGAAAATAATTTGTATTTATAGCAACGTGCATATACTGTAATATGCAAAAACGCAAGCAAAATTAATTTACTATACACTCTATATTTATAAAGCTAAATGTGAAATCGAAACAAACTAAATTAATTACATACGTATATTAAAAAGGGAAAATAAAACAAAAAGATAAAAGGTTATTAAAGTGTGAAAGTCATCAAATATTTGTTGTAAATAAATAAATAAAAAATTTTATTTTTAGTGTAAACTGGAGGAGAACAAGCAAACAAGCACCCGAAAATTTAAAACTGAGATTTTGTTTTTATTTATAAAATTTATAATAAAATAGTATTTACATATTTAAAGAAATAATTATTGCTATATATTATTAGTTTACTTCAACTGGTTGTATGGCGAAAATGAATAAGGTGTGTACCTATGTACCTACATCTACTTACATATTTTACTTGGTGTCAATGAGGAAAGAATATTGTTACCGATCCATACTCAGCGCGACTTTCCTAATTGCATTTAATCGCAGTTAGAATCGCTCCGAATGGGGCCCGAAATTGACTCAAGACTTTAACTAGTCAATTCTCAGTGTCACTTGTAGGTGACACTTCTTAAAAACTTTTTTTAGCTTAAGGAAAACGATTTCTTCCATTTTACCACTGTTCCCAACAAGTTAACAAATCAATGAAAAGTACAAAATTTTCTTGAATTGTAGTTGCAAGTCAACTGTGAAACTTTTTACTTTTATCGCAAGCTTTTGTGGAATTCGTCGCTTTAGAGTATTTTTTTATATCAAAAGTTCGGCTAATGATGCCAAAATCGTAAATGTGATGTCTTAATGGTAAATACAGTTGGCAAAACAAGATACGGATATATTGTAGATGAATTTATGTATCAAAATAATAGTTGGTCTACGTAGAATAACAATGCAAATAGTTATGGTCGGGAGCAGGGGCGCACCCAGGAAAATATTTTGGGAGGGGTTTATACTTCTGAAAGTTCGCTTCAGATAATATGCTCTTTAAGGTACATTTATGCAAGTTTTTTCGTAAATTGCACTTTATTTACATAAAATTAGCAAAGAACTCAAACATTTGTAACCGACTTCGAAAAAGGGAGAGGTTGTCAATTCGTCGGAATATTTTTTTTCTTTTTTATGTATGCTACCGCATAACTTTGAACCACGTGAACCAATCTCAACAATTTTTTTTTTAATCGGAAAGATGGTACCTCAAGGGTCGTCCCGTAATTTGAAAATTACTTGTTTAATATAAAGTTCTATAAACACAAGATGCGCTTAACTTTCAAAAGTAATAAAAAAATTTAAAAATTGTTTTAATTTTCATTTTCCTCAATTTCTGGTCTCTGGGTTTCGATTGATGTGGTGATTTTTGGGAAATATTAAATGGACTTTCATTTTTATTATTTAGGTAATTTTGGTGGAACGAATTTGAAGTTGGTAAATTAAATCTTCGAATCCTTGTTAAGTACATATCAGTGGTAAACTCTTTTGGCTGTAAGTTGTAAAAAACA